GGTAGGGAGAGGTGTTACCGGCAAAAACTTTATATATATATTTGACCGAGCTGGTCAGACTTGCTTAGTCAAAGAAACTTACACATTACCGACCAACTTTGGTCGGTAATGTGGACCCAATTTTTAGAATTTTAATAGTTATATTATTATTTAAAATGTTTTATAAAATTTAAAGAAATTTTATTTAAATTTACTGACCAACGTTGGTCGGTTAATGCATGGGAAGCATTTACCGACCAACTTTGGTCGGTATATTTTAATTTCTGGAAAATAACCGACCAAAGTTGATCGTTTATTAGGTCAACATTGGTAAAAATTACGAATCACTTTTATATTTACTATCTAAATAATATAAATGTAATCCGTTAACACTTTTGTAATACAAATAATGAATACACTAACATATACTACAACATGCTATATATGTAGTTAAATATATATATATATATATATGTAGTTAAAGTAGTACAACGAAGCGTGTTAATATTCAACGTTGCATCTAAGTAAGTTATAAGTCGATGAATCAATTTACAAATAGATATATTTGATGATAAATTATACTATACTAATTAGATCTGCACAAGTCTATCCATAAAAGAACCCGACCCTGTGGCAGTAAGTTTATCCTGATAATGTTCTAACACTATGTAGGTAAATAATGTTTGTAAGTTATGCTAACTTTTGAATTTTTTAAACACTATGTAGGTAAATAATCCAAATAATGGTGTAAACCAATTTTTGAAAGATATATCTTGGGGACCTGGGCTTGAGGTCACAACAATGTCTAAGTACGTTGTGAATGGTTATAAGTTCCACAGAGGATTGCTCTAAAAATAAAAATAGCAACAACAACGGAGTGTGGGTTCAAGGTGGCGATGGCAACCAAGTTGGAGATATTGATTATTATGGTGTGCTCAAAGAAATAATAAAACTAGAATATACAGGTTGGCCATATAAGAAATTGATACTCTTTAGATGCAAGTGGTTTGACCCAAATACAATAAGAGGTACAAGAGTACACAACCAATACAACATAATTGAGGTTAATCATACGAGGGAGTATGATCACTATGATCCTTTCATAATTGCACATAATGTTAGGCAAGTGTATTATGCTCCTTATCCATTGCGGCGGAATAAGTCCGATTGGTGGGTTGTAATAAAAACTAAGCCTGTAGGTAGGGTGGAAGTCGAGAATGTGTTAGATGTTGCATAGCAAAACGATATCTCCAGTGTTCACCAAATAGTGGACGATCAGTTAGAAAATGATTTGGAACATCCTGAACGCATATTGGAAGAAGTTGATATAAATGAAGTAACAATTATAGAGAATGAGGACGAATAATCAATTGATGAAGCTCAAACAAGTGAGGACGAAGAATTCTCGGGTGAGGAACAAACGTCGATGAGCTTTAAAAAGTTGATTTTTAAAGCACTCTCGTTTTATAGCTAGTTTCTTATATGTTTCAATCTAAATATGTATTATATTATGCAGATGGCAGGCAAGGGTCAAGGTAACAATGACCCTACTGGTTCTCGGGGTTGAGAAAAGGCTAGGAAGGGAAAGAGGAGGGTAGATAATAGTACTCCCTATTTTCCACCCTCTTTAGAGATGCCTATGTCTTATCCTCCACCCCACGGCTATACTGAGCTGTCACAGCATCACGAGCCCTACACCTTCATCCTGATACTAGGTATTTCATCACAGGGCCACAGGACTATACGTCCGACATACAGTCCAGATGCCTCACGGCCACGTGGATCGCAGCCATCTGCATCGTAGCCATCTATATCACAGCCACATGGATCGCATCCATCCATGTCACAGCCACTCGGGTCACAGCCGTCAGTATCACAGCCACTTGGGTCGCATCCAGCTATGTCGTAGTCACAGGGATCGCAACCATCTTCATCAGCGACTCCATCTATTTCAGACCTTTGCCTGCGAGCCAGTAGCTCTGAACCCCCTACACCGTCCACACATGCCTATGATACACATGCTTCGGACAATGATGACGAGGAAGTGCATTATGATCAATATGGCAGGACCATCATAGTCCATGAGGGTGATGGGTGAGAGTTATTTGTTATTTTTGCGTTTATTGTTTTGTAACATTTTTACTAAGACATTAATGTGTTTTTATTGTTTAATTGCAGGTTCATTCTGAGTAATAAGACTACGAGGATAATCACCAGTGCCATCAGAAAGCTTTATGATGGCCCTTATGCGACTTGGATTGATTTCCCATTCTTGTTGAAGGAGCAAATTTTCAATCAATTTAAGGTATAAATGTTCTTTTAAGCAGTTTAATAATTTATATTTATGATGTTTCCATATAATATTTAACTTTTAAAATACAGAGCAAGTGTGTATGGGAATACTGCTATAGCGCGAAAGTGGCTGCAAATTTTCATCATAAAGCTCGCAAGAGATTGGCGGATGCTTTCTCCGATGATGGAAAGAAGAACAAGAGGCCTGGCTGGTTACTTCAGAATTTATGGGATGATTTGCAAAGGCAATGGCTTACCGCAGACTTCTTAGAGAAGAGCGAAAAAGGAAAGAAAGCTCGCGCATCCGAGAAGGGAGGCTCCTTGCACACTGGAGGTGCGATCAGCCTAGGGACAATAAAAAGAAGATTGGTATGTAATTGCTTAAATTATTTTACTTTTCAAAGTATATCTATTCTATTTATTAACTAAATTAATTTGTTTTTAAGAAAAGAAGTCGGCGCATCCAATGAGCCATGATGAGCTATTCAAGGAGATGCATATTGTAAAGATGAAGAAAGAGACGGATCAAGAAAGGTGGGTCGAGGACCGGGCCTCGATGCATATGTAAGCTTTTACTTTTCTTTAAGTATTATAATTTACTTTTATATAAATTTTGAAATACTAATTCAATTTAAATTTTCGTATAGAGTCGCTACCAAAGTAACGTGGAGGAATTCATTCACAGTCATCCACCAGCTGGTGAATCTGGCGAGCCAACCCAACCTTCGGACGAGGATGCTGAAAGAATATGGTTGGAGTCTGTTGGCGGTCCAAAATGGGGGAAGGTATACGGGCTTCCTACTAAAAAGTTCCATCGTTATAAGTGTGGAATGCAAGGAATAGGGACTTCCTCGCAAGGCGAGCAACTTAATAGGGCGAGCCTCTCCGCTATGCGAGAGACTGTGACAAAGCTCACATCCGAGCTAGAAGCGGCCAAGGAAAGAGAAAGGGCTAGAGATGCTCAATTCATTGGCATGCAAGCTCAGATCAGAACTCTCCTATCTACTAGAGCTTTTCCGTTGCCTCGGTCTCGTGAGTCATCGCTAGAGATTCGACCTCCACATGATCGTTCCTCCCGTCCTGCTCTTAATCGTTCCTCCCGTCCTCCCGTGGTAGTTCCTCCCGTCCTTCACAAGACCCTTCTCTATACCGTCTTGTAGATGAAAGTTCATCAGGCGATGATAATGATGTTGTACAAAACACCCCTTGAGTTTTATATACTTTGACCTAGACAAATAGAACCAGTTTTGAACTTGTTGTAACTAGTTTTAACTTGGTTTTGGATTGTTATGTTCAATTGAACTTTAATTTGTTGTTGTTGTTGTTATTGTTATTCTGTTGTTGTTGTTGTATTGGTATATGCTGGCAGGTGGTGTAGCTACCAAAACAGGCATTTTCTGCCAAAATTATACCCAGAAAATCGACCAAAGTTGGTCGGTTTTTAATTAAAAAAATTTTACTACAAATTACCGACCAAAGTTGGTCGGTATTCATTAAAAAAAATTATGAAGAACCGACCAAAGTTGGTCGGTTAATGAACAAGGAATTCCTAGAATTCAACATTACCGACCAACTTTGGTCGGTATTGTTAAATTTTAATTTTTTTTTAAAAAATACATATTTTCCTTTACCGACCAACGTTGGTCGGTAACTTTTTAAATTTATTAATAAATAAAAAAATATAAAATACATACACCGACCAACTTTGGTCGGTAAAATTAAATTAATAAAATATATTTCCGACCAAAGTTGGTCGGTAAGTCATTAAAATTCTTCAGATGGTCGTTTTAATATACCGACCAACATTGGTCGGTATACTAAAACGACCATCAAAATAACGACCAATCGTGTTTGGCCGCGTTTTGGTCAGTAATTGGCCATAACCGACCAAAGTTGGTCGGTTTTTTGGTCGGTAATTACCGGATTTCTAGTAGTGATACTTGTAATTATTTATCTTTTGTATTTATCTTCTATTCAGTTATAGGGAAAAAAATTAGTTATAGAATAGTCAGTAGTAGAATGCCACTTGGCCTTTCTGTTTTTACCCTAGATCCCTTTCTTCCTTGTATTTATACATCAACTCTGTACAACAGATATTCATTCAATACAGAAGGAAAATTCTCAACGTTGATTTCTTTACTTTTCTACATGGTATCAGAGCAGGTTTAAATCTGCTCCTAAACATTTCAAAATCTATCACATAATCTTTATCATTTTCCTTCCTTCATTTACTCAGCAATGGGTTCTACTGAAACCCCTGACAATTCTTTTTCCACTACGCGAGTTACTGCACTTGCAGCTTCTCTTATAGCAGGAATTGTTGACTCAGCTCTCCCCTATTACCTTCATCCCTCAGATTATCAAGGGATGAACTTGGTTTCTTCAGTCTTTGATGGCAAAGGCTATGAAGGTTGGAGGAGAGTTATTATGATTGCTCTCTCTGCTAAGAACAAACTAGGGTTCATTGATGGATCCCTAGTTGTCCCTGAGGCAAATTCTGGACTGCAAAAAGCTTGAGCTCGTAGCAATGATATGGTCTTCTCTTGGCTGTTGAACTCCTTGTCAAAAGAAATAGCTGAAAGTGTGCTCTATTCTCATAGTGCAAAAGCTTGTGGAGTGACCTGGAGGACAGGTTTGGTCAGACAAATGGAGCAAAGCTGTTCTAATTGCAAAAAGAACTTAGTGGTGTGGTGCAAGGGAACACAAGTGTGTCTACTTACTTCACTAAGATGAAAAGCCTTTGGGATGAACTTGATGCACTTAATACATTCTCTGCTTGTGTGTATGATTGTGAGTGTGGGGCTAAGGCTAAGTCACACAAAGCACATCAAGATAAAAGACTTCTGCAATTCCTAATGGGTCTAAATGACACATTCATTGGGCCAAGGAGCAACATATTCCTATCTTCCCCTTTACCCTCTATAGGACAAGCTTATTCTCTAGTCATTCAAGATGAAAAACAAAGAGAAATACATGCTACACCAGCTTATCCTGGGGAATCAACTTCTTTTATTGCTAACAATCAGGCAGCAAACTTCAAAAGGTTCAAGGATAATAGAGGTAGAAGGGTTTCCTCAACTCTAAGAAGGCTACTGGTATTTGTGCCTACTGTAAAAATCCAGGTCATACCATTGATCAATGCTACAGAATTCATGGTTTCCCAACTGAGATTTAGTTTACAAATCAGAGAAAGTTTCAAGGAAAAGGACAAGTGCAAGCAAGTAATGTTTTCAGCTCAAATGAAGAAAGTGTGCAAACAGGTAATACTGCAAAAAGTGTTAAGTCTCTTACCTAAGAAAATGTAGCAGAATTGCTGCAGCTTCTTCAACAGGTGAAGTTGGGACAACAGAGTGCAAGCACCTCTGAACCTTCAGCCAATGTGAGTTGTGCTGGTATGACAAAATTCTTTGATTCTTATGCTTGTTTCATTGAAATTAACAGCAATTCATGGATATTAGATAGTGGAGCAACAGAGCATATGTGTTTCAACAAAGAATTCTTTATTCAACATAAAGCCTTACCTAAACCCCTTATGGTTAAGCTTCCAAATTCCTATAGAGTTAAGGTGACACACTCAAGTTTAGTTTCTTTGTTTCCTAATATGGTTTTACAAGATGTTTTGTATACGCCATCTTTCAGACATAACCTTTTATCTGTACATAAATTGTGCAGACAACTCAAGAAGTATGTCTTATTCACCCCTTATTCTTGTATTCTATTGCATGGCCCTTCACTGAAGAGCCCTATGGATATTGGTAAAGAAGAGGGAGGGCTTTACATTCTCAAATCTAGCCATTCAGCAGCTGCCTCTAGGAATCTATCTAAGTATAGTAGTTTTTCTGTTTCAAAAAGGAATGCACATTCCAATGTTGTTTTTAATTTCTGTTTTGTCTTTTCTGATCCTAATGTAAAAGAAAAGTTATGGCACTATAGATTAGGCCATTTACCATTGAGTAATATGAAGAAAATCTCATCAGATTATGTTCCTTCTTGTTCCAGTTTTTCTAGTCCTTGTTCTATTTGCCCTATGGCAAGACAATCTAAGCTTCCATTTCCCACAAGTTCTATATCAACCAAGAATGCTTTTGAAATGATACATGTGGATACCCGGGGACCTTATAGCACCTCTACTTATGATGGTTTTAACTATTTCCTCACCAATATGGATGATTTTACTGGAGGTACATGGATTTACTTATTAAGTATCAAATCTAATGTTTTTACGGTTCTCAAGTCCTACTTAGCAATGGTAGAAAGGCATTTTCACACAAAGGTACAAATTGTTAGAACAGACAATGCTTTTGAGTTGGGCAGTGGTAAAATACAATCAGAATTTTTTCAATCCTAAGGAATTATACACCAAACCACTTGTGTACATACTCCACAACAAAATGGAGTTGTGGAGAGAAAGCATAAGCATTTATTAGAAACTTCCAGGGCTTTATTATACCAATCACAATTACCCATAACATATTGGGGGGGATTGTCTACTCACTGATACCTATTTAATCAATAGATTTTCTTCAAGAATTTTACAATATAAAATACCTTATGAGATACTTTTCAGAACCAAGCCAAACTACTCCATGTTAAGGTGTTTTGGTTGTTTATGTTTTGCTTCTACTCGTCCATATCACAGAACCAACTTTGCACCTAGGGTTGTAGCTTGTGTCTTATTAGGCTATCCACATGGTAAGAAAGGTTATAAATTGCTTAATCTCAAAACTATGAGAACTTTCATCTCAAGGGATGTTGTGTTTCATGAGGAATCTTTCCCTTTTGCTACAATTAATTCCAATCTTTCCTCTAATCCTTCTTGCCTACTGCTAACTTCCATCCTACTTATGTGCCTATTTCAGAGGTTACACCAGTTATTCCCTCTTCTCATGCTTCCAACACACCACTCACCTCACCAGTCTTTACTCTTCCTACTACCTCACCTACCTCATCTCCTCTTCCTACAGCACACCTTACCTCTAACTATACCTCAGAATCTTGTTCTCCATCACATAGTCCTATCCCTCTGTTTCCTTCTTCTAGAAATGAACCTCACTTAGAAAATCTCATCAGAAAGTCTTCCAGGCCACACATTCCTCCTGCCCATCTCAAGGATTACATTTGCAATGCCCTACATCTCACAAATGTGAGCACTTCCTGTTTCCTCACTCCTGTGACACCTCATTTTGTTTCTTTTAGTGGTCTCTCTTCTACCAACCAACATATGTTCAATTCTCTTTCTAATCTTCATGAACCTGTTAGTTTTACACAAGAAGCCCACCATCCAGGGTGGCAGGAAGCTATGGCAAAGGAGATTGAGGCTCTTGAGCTCAATAAGACTTGGGATGTGATAGAGTTACCACCAGGGAAGAAGGCTTTGCCATGTAAGTGGGTTTACAAAATTAAACAACACTTCGATGGTTCTGTGGAAAGATTGAAAGCCAGGTTGGTTGTAAGGGGAGACATCCAGAGAGAAGGTATAGATTTTGATGAAACGTATTCCCTTGTGGTGAAGATGACCACAATAAGGTGCATACTAGCTACAACTGTTAAAAAGGGATGGGGTCTCTATCAATTAGACGTGAATAATGCCTTTTTACATGGAGATTTAAATGAAGAGTCTACATGAAATTTCCAACAGGTATCACACCACCTTCTCCTAATCATGTTGCAAATTAAAGAAATCTCTATATGGACTCCGACAAGCTTCTCGTCAGTGGTATGCTAAGCTTACTACAGCCTTGAGTTTTAAAGGTTTCACTCACTCTATGAATGGCTATTCATTATTCTTCAAAAAGACAGGTTCCTCTATCTCTATTGTTGCAGTATATGTAGATGACATTCTATTAACAGGTAATGATGATGCTGATCTGCATGCTTTAAAAGAGTTTCTCAATCGGGAATTCAAAATTAAGGATCTTGGTTTCTTTCATTTTTTTCTTGGCATGGAGGTAATTAGAGAACCTCAAGGATTGATTCTATCCCAGAGAAAGTTTACTCTGGATCTGTTGCACAAATTAGCATCTTTGCATTTGTCTCCTGCCTCCTCAGCTCTTGACTCTTCTATCAAATTGCTCGCCAAAACAGGGGATCCTGTGAAAGATCCGACCTTATATCGTCATCTTCTGGGTAAGCTTAATTATCTCACCAGTCCTGACCTGTCTTTCACCGTCCAACACCTCAGTCAATACATGCAAGACCCACGCCAACCACATCTTTATGCTGCTTATCGAGTACTCCGTTATCTTTTGAAAGATCCAGGCCTTGGTCTTTTTTATGTCTGCCTCACCTTCATTTCAGCTCCTCGCTTTTGTTACTCCGATTGGGGCACCTGTCCTGAATCCCGCCGGTCAGTCAGTGGTTTTTACATCTCCCTGGGCTTTTCTCCTATTTCTTGGAAGTCCAAGAAACAAACTTCCATCTCTCTTAGTTCTGCTGAGGCAGAATACCGTTCCATGAGACAGGTAGTAGCTGAGTTCACTTGGTTGGTTCGCCTCTTTGAAGATCTGTCCATCCCAATTTCTTTACCTATTCCTCTTCATTCTAATAGTCAAGCCGCACTTCATATCGCAAAAAAACCCGTGTTCCATGAATGCACCAAGCATGTAGAAATCAATTGTCACTTTGTGCGACAACAATTTCTTGCTGGGCTTATCTCTCTTTCTTTTGTTCAATCTGATTCTCAGCTTGCAAATCTCTTCACTAAACCTCTCACCAGTCCTCTTCATCGGAATCTATTGAGAAAGTTGGGTGTTCGTACCTCCCCCTCCAACTTGAGGAGGGGTGTTGGTGTTACCCTAATTTCTGAGAAAGTTAAAGAAGACGAAGAAGCGGTTTGATGTTTCTAAGGTTAGCTTTGTTTGGTCCGAAATGTGTTAATATGTTCTTTTGTTTTGATCTGTAAAGAAGACTTGGACTTGGGCCATATTTTCTTTGGGCCATTTTTATTGGGCTTATTACTGGAAGGGCTCATCACTGAAAACAGCTGGAAGGACAACTCTTCTAGAAGATCAGAATACATTACACTTTATACTTGTAATTATTTATCTTTTGTGTTTATCTTCTATTCAGTTATAGGGAATAAAAATTAGTTATAGAATAGTCAGTAGTAGAATGTCACTTGGCCTTTCTGTTTTTACCCTAGATTCCTTTCTTCCTTGTATTTATATATCAACTCTGTACAGCAGATATTCATTCAATACAGAAGGAAAATTCTCAACGTTGATTTCTTTACATTTCTACATATTATGAGTATAGTCTAAGCAGCTCAAGGGGCTCTCCTGATTGAATAATTACTTAATTTACCCGATCGTAAAAGGAAAAAAAAATTAAGTTCCTACGAAAAAAAAAAGATTTGATATCAGTATATTCATAGTTCAACATTGTGATTTGTGAATGTGCGAGCAAAGTTTCAGAGGGGAAATTGATTAAGAAAAAAAATATATGTCAAGTATAAGAATATTAACGATGTGAGATCATTTTCAGAAAAAGCATATAAATTAACGAAAGCAATCAGTATCACAGCGTTAAGAGTATCATGTTGAGAGTCAGTGACTGACCTAGAATTTTACACAAGCGGGTTCAACTAAAAACAACTTTAACCAATGATAGGGTTGTACGGAAAAGCAAAATTTGTCCGGCGCTTCTTTTTTGGGTTCATAATGCTACCTTAAAATGAATAATTTAAAAAATATGAGGTCCCAATTCTTCTTCTTTTTTTCAAACAAGTAGTGCAAAACTTTAAATTTTTAACAAAAACGATTGCTTTAACTAAAAATGTTAACAATTTACATATCTAATTTTACATTTTCATTTAAACTTAAAAAAATTCTATTTACACAATTTAGAGCTTTTAGACTCTAATAGATTTAACTAATAACAAAGTTGTTAATTTACAAAAATAATAGGACAAAAAAGAAATTATAACTAAAAATAAGCTGCTAGAAACTGACCCACCCGTGACCTGCTCCGTTACCGACCCGCCCCCTTTAATTCGTTTTAACTCAGTAAAACAAGTTCTTTCGCCAATTCTTCTTCTTTTTCCTCTTTTAATTAGGGTTCTTCATATTTTCCATCTCCCATTAAGTAATTATTCGCTCACGACAAACCTTCAATCTGTCTCTCCATAATTGATATGGAAGTTGGAAAAAGTCAACCACTCAAAGCTAATCTCAAAATGTTAATGTTCAATTTCCTTCACTTCCTAGCTTTAGTATCTGGAAACACTTATACTGTGGAAAGAAGTAGCAGGGGACTACACTTTCTCACATTGATTTAGAGAAGCCAATAGTCACTATTAGAAATTCGGCAAAAACCGATCAAGAAAAACCGATCAATTTTGATCGGTAAAAAAACGGGCCAAAAACCGATTAAAGTTGGTCGGTTGTTCAAAATATTCTAATTTTTAAGTAAAAACGATAGATTTAGCTTTCCCTGTTCTTGAAAATATAATTCCCATTCTTCTTGCTCCTTTTCCAACTCATCCTTTTCAGTATGTATCGAAAACAACCGCCGTAAACTCTCATGTAATGTAATGAGATAAATTTGTTTTACTGGGTTAAAACGAATTGAAAGGGCGGGTCGGTAACTGGGCGGGTTAGTGTTGTAGGGCTGGTCTTTTAAGTTCAGCCAATAAAAGTATTACACGTGGATTAAAAGAATTTTTTTTTTTTCCAATTGAAAGGCTGTTAGAAATAGGGCATGGTTGAGCCAGAAGTTAAACAGTAGGTGCATTTTTATTCAAAAAGGTGGAAGGAGGGCATTATTGTACCAAATTCAATATTTGAGGGGCACTTTAGGCCCTTTTTCGTTAATAATATGTATATTGTGTAATATAATATATATTTCAGTACGGTATCAGTATTTCGATATTTCATTTTAAAATACCAAATACCATACCTAATACCAATACTTTTTAAAACTTAAACCAAATTACCATATTGAATACCAAATACTAAAAGGTACGGTAATTTGGTAATTCAGTATTTACCAAATGCACAACCCTAGCTATGTCCCCCTACTTATTAGGCCCGCGTGCACTTGTGATGCGTAGCGTGACTCATAACATAACTATGCAAAAAATGCTGCTATCTAACGAGATAAGAACTCCCAACCCCTTATTTGACTGAACCCGCTAAACCATCTGTCCACAAGATCTGCTTGTGTCAAGCAGGTTCAAAGAACGTTTATATACTCATTTTACAGAAATTAACCTATAAAATATCAAAAAAATTCAACATAGCGATTCATTTGAACCTTCTTGGGTCCGCCCTGTTAAGAGTAGCTAATTAACCCAACCAACATTACTGAATACTCCGTGTGTTTTAGGCTTTTAGCGTGATATTCTTTTAAATTTGAAATTCTAAAATCTGTTTATTTTAAATAAACACGTTTTTCTCAGAAGTACTTTTCAAAAAAGTACTTTTGGTTAGAAGTGATTTGTTTTTGACCAATTAATTTGAAAATCACTTTTGAACAACAATTAGTGTTTGGCCAAACTTTTAAAAAGTGTTTCTAAGTGTATTTTTCTCAAAAATGCTTTTCAAAAAAGTACTTTTGGAGATAAGCTATTTTTTTTCTTCTCCAAAACTGCTTCTGCTTCTACTCAAAAGCACTTTTTACCCTTCAAAAAACTTGGCCAAACACCTTAATTTTGGCAAAAAACACTTTTGACCATAAAAGAAGCTCGTCCGAACAGGCTATAACGCCTTGATTCTTAAAAGTGTGCATTAAACAAAGAAAATAGAGGGAAATGTATATCTTGAACTTCTACCACGCTTTTATACTTTTTCCATTATTTTTCAATAAATGATTATGCTTTAAGATTTTATTTTGACAATAAAAGCTATAGTCCTTATCACGAGTGCTTCAGCTTTCCACATGATTATACAGTAGCTTGCCAGAATCTATTACTAGTAATTTGGAACGCAATTTCTTCCACCTAATTAATTCGCTTTGATCCTATAATAATTTATTTTTATATGTATGCCAAACATAACGAAAACAAAAGATGATTACACATTCAATATCTTTATCGGAGAAGATTGCGATAATATTAGAGTTACATCTATTAATTCGTTCGTGAGAAAAATGTCAGCATGATTTAAGAGGGAACTGGATATGTTTTTGTGTCTTCATGTTATTTTGAAGTTGCTTTATAATTATTTTACAGGGTCGGGTAAAAAAGAATATTAATAAAGAAGAGAGAACACTACTTAGGAAATTAAGTCACGGGACTAAAATATTCGTTATCTAAAGTTTTCTAATCACAATCCTTTAATCTTTGTAACATGATAATTTCGTTCAACTGGCCGCATTACTGAAAAATAAACAACCCTTATCCATAAAACCGGAAATACATTGTCCAAAGATAAAAATAACAATTACTACACCTCAATCTCAAACTATTAAACACACAAGCAAGTAGAATACGAATGCTAGGCTTAACCATCCATATTAACATTTTTTTTTACATGCACACAAAAAAAATATAAAAAAAATAATAATGATAAATAAACGGATCGTGAAGGCCAACATACAAGTCGATCCAACATGTACTTTAACGGAGTTTTACTTCTTCAAGACACTGCAATTGATGAGAGTCGCCAGTTAGGCTATTTGGTAATTGGT